TCTGGGACTTCCCTTTAAGACTATAATTGCTCTTTGATCGCGGAAGTGGGCTTTTAAAAGAGAATGTTATTGTTCAGGAGCTCTGTGGGGACTGCAGAGGACAGCAGTGGTAGACATGGGGTTGGATGATATTTAACACTGATTAAGGGGCATTACTTTCCCCCGGATCCCCAACCATGAGTGTTCAAGCAGAAGAAAAAGAGCTAGATTTAACTGACGTTTTCTTTTAGCTGTAGAAGGTTGCAGTGTTCCAGTAAAATATTGTTTTGAACATTTTGTTACAAATATGGTTATGATTTAAGATTAACCTTTTTATTGTTGCTTTTGTTGTTGTCTTAAGTATAGGCTGTGTCATGTTTTGTGTAAATTATTTATGTAAATTTGTTACTTATTTGTTTAAGGAGGGTTATGTTGTTAAACTTGGGATTTAGTTTTTTTTACATGGCTGCAGGCCTGGTTCCACAACAAAATCACTGAGGGTGCATCAGAAATCTTAGGGAGTATACAAAAATGTAAAGAACGCCTCATGCTTTAAATGATAATTTGTGGTAAGCAAAAAAACATTCAGAGTGGCGCTTCATATGAACAGCACATTATAATTGTGTGTTTCTCTTTGGAACACTTGAATACTGTACGTTTAATAAGATTGCCACATGTGTGTGATAGTAAGCCTACTTTCTGGCTATGTTTGATTATTTTCCTGACATTAGTGAACACCCATTGTGCTAACAACAGAGGATAACTGCAGCACAGTACACTGTTTGCAGTGTTCAAACAAACGTTTCATTCTTTATCAGAAGTATAAGCCCTACATAGATTAATTAGTCTTCATGGTACACGATCAGAGTCATTATATATACTTAAAATTTATCTGCACTCTACGAGTTACGCTGCATTACACTGTTCCGGCATGTCAGCACACCACAATGTATTCCATTCATTTTCTATAGGGGGCGTCAGTTCTGTCAGATGCTGCCACGTGGTGCATGCTGGATCCGGCCATGAGCGGAGCTGGTCTTTTATATAAATGAATCTGGTCCATGCATCTGCCCAATTAGGAGGCAGCTGGTGTTCGCGTGATTCTTGTCTGCGGGTATGAAACATTTCTTCCGCTTTTCAGACATTCCTGTGTGACATGGAAGACCAGCATTGAAAGATTAAACATTTCAGCACAACTGTTTACCTCTAGAGTTTAAAATCTGAGCGAGAAAATAGATTGGATGTCAATAAAAAGAAATGACTGATGTTGACTGCAACTGGCAATTAACGACCTACATATCATAATTTTAATAAGTTTGACCTTATTAACATTTTGGAAAATTAGTTTAATAATGCATACTATGTTGACTTTCCGATTATTCAAAAATAATAGAAGCATTGCTTGCATAAATATTGACTAGCAAGACTACATTTTAATTGGATTTCACTGGAAACTCCCTTGTACCTACCTACATGTGGCCAACTGAAGGGGGGGGTGCGTTCACGTCCGTCGGAGTGGCGTAAATGCAGAGTTAGGCTGTGTAAATGCATTTTCCCCAAACCTCAACTGAAAATGCACATATTCAAACTGAAGGTGCGTGCCTTTGTATCCCCCCGTAGAACTGGATTTGCATGGTTGGTTATGCAAATGCTTGGTGCAAAGCTTCTAAAAAAGGTATTAAAAAAGGTGTCTACCAATTCGAATGATGTTTCCCCCACCAAGTAAAATAGTGGTCCTGTGCAAGTCGTCCTTAGTTTGACTACAAGTGTCTTGGAAACGGAGTGAGACAGTTACAAGCTAAATGACAATATCTACTTATATTTCTTTGTGTCTTTCCCCTGTTGAAGCCCTGCCACCCCATCAATAAAAGTGGCGACACACTAATAAAAGTTTTCTAGGTTGAACGTTGGAATTGGACTGCAGCATACCTAGCTTCTGCCCAGCAGTGCCCACTCGCAACACCCATGCTCTGATTCATAACAATTCGTACCGTGGGAGTCAAGTGGGAGTTGTCCAGAGTGTTCTCTATAGCATGTTTAGGTAGACGTCTCATTGATCGCTCTCTACAGAACTTTGTGGAGGTTCTAAGGGCCTCCCTGTGGACTTGCTTTCTGCTGGGTTCCATTTGTATTGATCTCCTGAAGACGACAGTGAGTTACATAAACACACCACAAGCCATAGCCTTCCTGCTGCCTGCAAGCGCTTACCTCAAACTTATTCAAGTTCATACAAGTCAGCAGCCTCCGCCCGACCGTGTTTTCACTGTTGCTCTTCACGATGAGAGCTAGGGGGCTGCATGAATGTGAGAAATAAAAAAGTGCATTGTTACCCTGCAGCTCTGAAGATACTGTAACTTCTCAAAGATAAATGAAGCCTAAGTGATTGGCTGACAGACAGGTTCAGGAGGTGTGTGCTGTCCGATTGGGCTAAACAAGCAGACGTTTAAGTTTCTGCTGCTCCATGCATTCTACTGAGTTATTACCTGCTGTACTTTATTAAGTTAGAATACCATATTACCTTTGAACCTTTTAAGCCTTTATAGTGGAAGTGAACACAATAGACAACAAAGCTGTCTTTGTGCTGCGGCTGTATGATGAGCTCACGTTTGTAGATTTCCCCATTCACCAGTATAGTTTTCCTTCCCTGTTTTGATACTGTCTTGTCTTTTTAAATGGCAAACCACATGAGGGTGAAGTTAATTAGAGGTGTGTGCTTGTTCCACCAATGAGTGAAGAGGAAGGCTTTCTTGGCTCAGTGAAATTTCAGCTTCTTTTGGCCTGGCGTGGCAGTGACAAATTACGGACCATGATTGAGTGCTTATATTTAGCAGGAGTTTGTCCAAAATAAGGGTCAAGCCCACACTACTGGGTAATAATGAAAGTGATCACATGTCAGCGCTGCCCCAGGATGGAGCAGAGCTTTGGTCAGGCTCTGTTATACCCAAAACTCTTGGCTGAAACAAAGTTCAGCATGATTTACTATGATTTTTTTCATCTCTCACATATGTGTGAGTGTCCTGACTTTGTAAAAGGGGCATGTTTAATTTTTTCTTTTTTAAACTGAAAAGACAAAAACATTATGGTTGATGATGTTAAAGTTAGGAATATTTTTAGGGTTAAGTTTTAAAATTCTCATTACATATACAACACTATGCAAAAGTCAGAGACCACCTTTTATTTGTTCCAGTCAAAAATCCATTAAGTACAAGTTATTCATTTTTGCAAAGGGAAGGGGAAAGTCAAAGGAAAATAAGTGGGGGAAAAAATCAAAACTGGAATTCAGAAAATTATTAAAAGCAAAGACCCGGTATACCATCAAAACTATCATCATCAGACAAACTGAAATCTTTCATTATTGAGAGATCAGAAAAATAAACCTCCACTCTTGCTTCAGATCTGAAAACAATCCACAGGTGTTTCACCTTCAATGCTACAAGTCTGAGAGCATGTGTAAATGTAAAGAAGCTGTTACTAAGTAAAAGGGACAAAGAACAAAATTAGCAAATCATAAAAAGAAGCTTCTGGTCTTCTCAGAACAATGAACTGAGTCCAGACCTCTGCACCGCTGAATGTGTTTGGGAGGGACATTATATTTATTTGTTGAAGCTTGTGTGTAAATTTCTGCTTTTTTTTTTTTCTTGACAGTGAAAAATGAATAGCTTACTTAATGGCCATTTTGACTGGAAATTAAATAAATGAAGGGTGGTCTCTAAATTTGCACAGTACTCTGTGTGTGTGTGTGTATATATAAAACAGTTGAACAGGTGCATATGAATGCAAAACACTATCATGGTTAAAATAAAAAAAGGTATCGAATTCTAAGGATAACACAACACAATTGTGTAAAGAGAACTGATGAAAAATAAGAGTTAATTAACAGGAACCAAAACTGCAAAAATCATGGGTAGCTCTACTCCCACTGCTACAGTATTTCTATTATTGAACAGTGAGTTTTGTGATTTTTATTTTTTTTTTTCTAAGTTTAAGAAATGTGAGCACTGAGAGCAAATAGCCAGGTTTCACAATTCAGTCAATGTCCGACAATTATATCAGTTAGTAAAGTGTTTTTTTTTTTTTATTAAAACTGTAGTAAGTATGAAATTACTATCCAAATATATAATTACATTCACCAGTATTATCAGTTATTAGGATCTTTAGCCTTAAAATTGGCCAGGGCCCAATATGAACCTCACATCCTGACACTGTATTAATACAAACCTGTGTGTGTTGGGCCTGTGTACACGTTTGTTTACAAATGTAGAGGTTAGAAACCTTGTTTAAATTTTTCTGAATCTCAGTAGAGCTTGACTGGTGATATACCGAGCAAATAATCCTTGCTTCAACTCTCTGTGCTCCCTCCAACCACAATACACACACGGTCCCACTCGCACACAAATATCCTACTGTATATTATGTACGTTTTTTTTAAACTCATTTTATGTCAGAAATAGCAAGCACAGAATGCCCTCCAGTGAAATGGCTTTTGGAACGGCACGTTCCTCTCATTTAAGATAGAGTAATGGCTGTAATTGCAGTATGAGGACATAGCCTTCTGTGCTGCAGACAGGAGACTGAGGCCCACTGTGTCACGAGGAGACGTGGTTCTGAAATGTTGGGGCCCAGTTCCTCCATTACGGCTCACATTATATCAAAGAAGACATTTGTCAGAATCAGTATGATGGAGAGAACTATGAGCTTGGGATTTTCGAGATAAATAGCCGAGCTCATAACGTGACAACATTTAAAGTGTGCCTGCCAGGGCTGCTAATAAAATGTTGCATTTCAGTTCCAGTTGAGCAGCTGTTGCTTTCTAATGAAATTGATGATTGACGTTTCATTAGAAACCAACTATATATATATATTTCCCCCCCATCAAGCTTGTATGAAACAAGCATTTAGCAAACTAAGTGTGCAACAGCACAGCACAGCGCACATGTTGTGAGAGATGTTTTAAGACATTTTGATTTTAGAGCTTTTTTTGATTTATGGTGACATAACACTGCAATTCTTGCTCTTTACAGTATGTCAAGATTCCTGCTCCCACTGCGGACTCCCCGGATGCCCTACGTGTCTTTTCCTTTTACCTGTCCAGTGACAGCAAGGACAAACCTCAAGCCAGCTTCGACTGTATTCACCAGTATGTCTCAGGGTAAGCAGTGCTAATGAATTTCACTCAAAACTGAGTGAAATTTTTCGGTCTACTTGTGATCAGTGAAGGCTCTGAATGCTAATGATTAGGGTTGTAAATATCTGACCTCACAATAATTATATTTTAAATAAAAACAATCATAAAATCTCAGTTTTCAGCTTGATTTAATTCACATTTTGGAACAAGGATTACTTTAAAAACACACTATATACACAAATGAGACTGTTCTGAAATGAAAATGACCTGCATGACCTGGGTTAGTTGCAGTGGGTCACTCTGTGAAATATACAAAGTTGTTTTTAGTCATAGATTACTTACTTTTGCCATATTTTTAGCATTGACTCATGGGCGGTTAATTAAGTCTAATTTCAACTGAACTGTAATATGCATGTAATTACCAAGGCAGATTGAAATAATCATATGCATGTTGAAAGTAAAGCCTTCTCTCAAATGCTCATTCATGTATATGCTAAATTTGTGTTGTGGAGGCTTTAGTTTGTGAGAACAAATATTTTACTGACCTTTGGACCAGAGTTGCATCACAGTGTTCTGTGTTTTCCTTCCCTTTCCTCTCCTAGCCTGAGTGGCACTGATCTGTTGGTTCTGGAGCTCAAAAGAGGCTTGTGGGTGCCACAATACTTCGCTTGTCTTAAAAAGAATAGCTTTACATAGGTTTGTGGGAAAAGAGGATGCAAAGCAATTCCAGCAAGCTGGTTGAAGGCATTAGTCATAAATTAGTCACCGACTTTCCGGTTGAACTGTGCACAATAGGTCCAACTGTGCCACAGATGCACTTGGAGAAAATGAGAAAACACAAGCAGAATGGCGAAAAATGAAGCCAGGATGTATTCCAACCGACATTTGAGACTTAAATGCAACTTTGATTACATTATGCTTTTGACTTGCATCTAGCTGAAATTGCGCAACACCTGAACTTCAGGAGCAATGAGAAACATTGGCAGAAAGGCCTACGTTTACCTTGAATATGAAAACAGCATTTTGTAATCAGTACTATTTTAATGAATTTGAAAGTTTTAATAACTCTTTCACAATGTTATAGCTAACATCAGAGTGTGATGAACTGGTTCCCAACGCTGGACCTAACTATTTTGGTGTTTCCTGCTCTCATACCTGATCATTACTGATAAGCTAATCAGCTCATTATAAAGCCTGTGTTGAAATGGGTGTGTAGAGTATGCAGAGCAGGGTTACCCCAGGACCAGGATAGTAAAAATGCTTTGTTGTTCCTTACTGTAAATTCTACAGCAAGCCTTAGTGAACAACTTCCTTATTTCCATGATATCTGTTCTCCTCAGGGATGGCAGGGACCACTTGGAGGGCCAGGGCAGTATTCAGGACAAGATCACTGTGTGTGCCACGGATGACTCCTACCAGATGACCCGTGAGCGCGTGTCCCAGGTGGAAAAAGACATCTGGAGTCGATCAGCTATCGAGATCAAACCCGGGGCCACGCATCCAAGTAAGGAGAGACCCCTGCCCTACCCTTCCACACTTGCACACATATACACTGTTGAGGTGGGGGAAATCCTCTCTACAGCTGCTGGCATCAAAGCACCACCACACCCTTGCTGTGGTTACAGTGATTTCAATATGGTTAATGAGTTGTTGGGCACGACACAAAGCAGAGTGAATGCTGAGTATTTTGAATTGAGTATTAAGTATTATTATTATTATTATTATTATTATTAAGCTATTAAGTACAAGTTATTAATTTGTCAGCATCAGGAAAAAGCAGCATTTATTTAACAGATAATTATACAGATCAATAACTAAATGTATTTTTTGAGTATTCAGTGTGTCTATCCTTTGCCCTCATTACAGCTTTCCTTTTTTTTTCATCAGACTTGCTTTCAGTTTCTGCAGGGATGTTTTTTCAAAGCTCAGTCGTTGGTTGTTGGTTGCATTTTCTGCTTCTCACAATACAAGTAATCCCAAACATATTCCGTAATGTTGAGGTCCTGACTCTGGGGTGGTCTGTCCTTTGTTCTGAGAACACCAGCAGCTTCTTTGTTTGAATGGCAGATTTTCTTCTTTTTTGTCTTTTTCCTTTTCTCAGTCTCAACGGCTACTTGACAGCATCTCATAGTGTTTCCTTTCAGTCCCATAGCGTTGAGTTGTCTTCTCACCATGGAAGGATGGACAGACCTGTGGTTTCTGTTATATCTGGAGCTTGAAATGATTAACTTGCTCTTAATGGCTGTTTTGACTGGTAATTAAATGAATCAAAGGTGATGTGTGACTTTGCACCATATGGTATGTGTGTTGTATTTTACAAAGGCTTCGTACATGGCTCAGCCAGAAAGATTGTAGAACTGTGTGTATTTTCTCCAACCAAACCTTTTTACCCTTATGGTGGCTGTTAGGCCTGTGTTAGTACACAGGTTAGTTTGCCGCTGATCAAGAAACCTTTGTTTGTGGTGGGATCTTCCACTCCCTCTTCTGTCCTTGACCCTCTTCCCCGCACTACACAGGCGTGGAGCCAGAGAACCTGCTCCATTAACGTGATTGAGATTGCCGGAAGTATGTGCTAACAAGTCTCATGCTGGGCGGATGAAGCTGAGCCTGGGATTTTAATTACTGTGGCTTGGAATCAATTAGGTTTTCATCTGCAGAAATGCTGAATTATACATGGGGGCTCTCTCTGAAGCGAAGTCCACGATTTCCCCTGAGGAGGTTGAAAGGGACAAGATTTGTCCCCGGCCTCATGTGTCTGGAACGGCTTTACACATACTGTCTGGAGAGAGAGGGGCCCGAGATGAGTTCTACTTCTTTGTATTATTTCTTAATTCACAATACTTAATATGTTCAGTATGAGACGTTCTGGCTTTTACTTGATGGGTGTTGCAGGTCTTGTAATCAAAGCAAGGCTTGATTTGCTGACTGTGAAAGTGCCAGCAGTGTACAGGGGGCCAACCCCTTGCAGAGTCCTGCTCGTACAGAAATAAAAGGGTCGCAAACAAAGAAGCCTCTTGCGGCAGAACGCTGTATTTCTGTGGTGAAGTAATGGCATGCTTATCTTCAAGGAGTTTTTAAATGCAGCTTTTGCAGTCATAGATCTTGAAACAGGGCGATTCTAAATGTATGGCAGGTATTCCAGAGCAGACTTGATTATAGAGGCCTGGGCTGTCTTTAAGGTCGGCACAGTCACACTTCGCAGGCCAGGAGGTGCGCAGCAGATCATCAGATATTTTACAGTCTGTTTGTTGTTTGTGCCTAGCTTTGCAGATGTATGTGGAAGATGCACCAAGTTGCCTTTTCCTAGTCAAAAGAGACCAGATGCTCCTGTATGAATTCAGAAACGTTCTTGGAAGTTAAAGAATCCCTATCCAACATTATTCTTGTATTGTATTTACAATAGCATTTGTATGCTTTTATGGACCAAAATCACTGGTAATCCATTTTTACATGACCATTTTCAAACTTTTCTTTATCCTTTAGAATTAAACAGGCTGTTTTTGTTACTGTGCTTTTAAGACTGAAATAAGTAAATGATGTTCTGTTCTTATTGGCTGCCCTGTTCTCTGCCTCATTCAAAAAACAGTGCAGGTTGAAACACTCTTTATAATTTCATTGTGAATGGCTGGAGCTTACCCATTGTAGGCTAAATAGGCGGTTATATGTAAATGTGTTGTTTGTTCATGACATCACCAAAACAACAATTCAAAATGGTATGTTTTTACAGGTTAGTTTCTGTATTAACCTTTTGGACTGTGGAGTGAAGGGTTCATTTTAAATATTTAACAGTGTTTACATACATCAGACGGTTCTTTTTGGGGGAAAAAAGTGAGTAAAATTTAAGTTTTCCATGATATGGTGTTTCATCCAAGCTGTTTCAGTACAACTAATCTAGTTTATATATTGGCAGCATGATTGGACAGTGTTCTTTTCACCCCCCCACCCCCTCCCCAGTTTAAAGGGACTGAGTATGTTTTTTTTGTTTTTTTTTTGCTTAGCATGACCTGTTTAAGCGTCGGAAGGAATTTCTCTCCTGCTTCTTTGCCAACATCTTGAACTTTGTAATGCAGAAATATTCCTAGTAAATGGAGACATTGTTTTCTTTCAGCAAGTCAGTGGTATTGCAGTGTAGACTTAAAGCTCTAGTCAGGAACACCTAGCACTGACGGTCCACAATTTAGCAACAGTTCAGGCTTTCAAATCACAATACTCCTACTTAAAGGCATAATATGTACATTTGCTATGTTGTCTCTTAGCAAACGTGCAATTGGTCCTGGACCAGTTGAGTTGCGGCTACTGTGCAAGTCTGTAGTTCATACTGCTTAAGGGGGAGGTGATGTCATTTAAAGAAACTTTTACCCCAAAAATAAAATAAAAAAAGAAATAAAAAGATATATAAAAACCCTAATTTAAAAAGCAAGGTAGGAGTGCTTCCATTCTTGTGGTGAATTTGATGCATTACCAGACACTTATTTTCCTGTTAAGATCTTGCAGACAACATGCAAATGATAGGTTTTTTCAAAGTTTTTGAGTTCTACTGTATGCTCAAGGTGCCAGAATGTTTCTTTAAACTCCTAGACAGTTGTACTACATGCAAAGCAACTACTTGCTAAAAGTACAATCAGAGCAGAAGCCCCTTTTGCAGCTTAAAGATGTTAATTAACATTACGTAAAGAAGTACACCGGCTCAGGACACGCGGCAAACTGGCTGTCCTTCTCCCACTCTTACGGCAACCTTCAGAGCACGGCTTAAACTACTTAATGAGATTAGACTTGCTTGATATCTGTCAGCGCTGTCGTGGCCTCCTGGCCAGCTTCCAGGTGAATTAGTGCAGTGGTGGGAAGAGAGAGTGAGAGAGAGAGAGTGAGTTGGGTGGGGGGTGCCTCTATTTGAGCTCCTTCAGTTTCCATAGCTGTGTTGTTTGCACAGGAGAAAGCTCCGTTTACAGTTAAAGCTCTTTCACGCTCCCCAGCCTGCTCAGTGCACGGCGCCTCCGGAGTACGAGTTCTGCCAGGCTTTGTTTACTCAAAAGTCATATTTCCTGAAGCACGCCGACATGCACTGTTTGCTGTACTGTATGTGTGACAGACATAAGTCGTGGCCCTTGTGCTAACATCTTTCTCTCTCTCTCTTCCCCTCTTTGTCGTTCTCTCTCAGTCCCTCCCTAGATCCCTTTCTCTAATTTCACCTTGCAACCTTTCTTTCTTTTTTTTTCCTTTGTTTTGCATAACGAGAGTTGAGGGATTTGTGTGCTCCCAGAGGCGCCGGGCTATTTGAGGTTCACCCGGTTTATTTTCAGTCCTGAAGAAGTAGTTAGGTCAAGCAATAATCCCTCCTCGTCACTTTTTGTGTCATGTTTAACTCTCTGTTGTCTGAAAACTAGAAAACTTCCTCAGAAGACTTCAGAAATGCCCTTGCTATGGGCAAAACTTCTTTCAGAGAATAATTTGATCGTTTGGGCCTTGCTTATGAGCTGATGGAGAGATTAGAAGGGAAATGGTCATTCATGTCCTCTTTGTGTGGTGTTTCCTTTTGTGCTTAGGAAAATGTGTTCAGATTAAGAGGAAGCAGGGGCTGCCAGGGAGCTTCGATGGCGCTAACAGACATTCTCCCAGCAACAAGAGGAGCTCAGCGCCCAGTGTGGTGGCCCACAGACCCTTAAGAGAACGAGTCATTCACCTGCTGGCCCTAAAGCCCTACAAGAAACCAGAGCTGCTGCTGTGGCTCGAGAGGGAGAGAGCCAGTCCCAAGGACAAAGCTGAACTGAGCGCTGTGCTGGAAGAGGTAAAACAAAACGTACATCGTCACAGACGTACAATTCCAACCCCAAAAAATCTTTAAATGGTCATTAAAATTAAGTTAAAATCATATATAATATAAAACAAAACTATAGCCCCTATTTTGTAGCGATATCTGTTGGCTTATGCAATACAAGCTTTCTGAAAGGTAAGGGTGAGAGTAGTTATATTCACTCATGTAGACCAAGATGCAATACTGAGCCAATTTTACTGAATTTTCCCTAATTTTATTCGTTGCAGCTCCCACCCACTTTCTTCCTTTCTTCTTTTTTCCCCATCACACATAGTTGCTATCACCCTTGGAGGGTCTGGGCTAAAATGTGCCTCTCCTGTTAAGTACTGTTCAGACAGGATTAGTTTTACTAATACTCATGGGTTACTGGCGTTTCTCAGCTATTTCAGTCACATCCTAATCAGCCATCATCCTAGTCAGTCATTTTTACGGACTGCGTGCATCCGCATCAGTTAAGGCTAAAACATAAGGTAGAAACAACCCCAGATTATATCATCCAAATTACCTTATCAGTTAATATTCCTTTGTATCTTGTGGAAGAGCAGGTTTTGCTGGTTTTCTTAATTATGGAGGCACTCAAACGCATTTACTTGTATTCTCTTCATTCTCAGCCAATACGAGCTGTTCTACTTCAAGTGTATGAACCTGAACATTTTGATTTTATGCAGCGATGTTGACTGTTGGTTGTAAATACTTATGCTAATTGGAATGCTAATGACATACTGCATTCACTTAAGGCAGCTAGGTAGGTAGTTAGGGTAAATTAAATTATGATTAAATTAAATGTGTGGACTTGTTTTGTTCTTGTGAGGAGCTGAATGGAACTTTTTTTTGTGTGCCAGACCCAGAAACTGGGTCCCATTGATAAGTCATTACCTTCTTATCAAATAACTGAACCAGCAGTTTATGTAGTTGCTGTACACTAGTTTTTTTACAGGCTCTCTGTAATTGCTCTAAACCTGTCTTTTTGCAATGATAATTGCAGTTATTCAGGCTTATAAAAGTACAGATGATACCTAGGATACACTCATAAAAGCGTGCCACAACATGATTTTTCACAGTAACAATTGCGTGTAGTCTTACTGCCCACACCACTGCTGACTTTGGGTCATATCAAAATAGCCAGGAGTAATCTTAGTTTAGCACCCCAAACTCTGAGACAATAGATATGGGCTCTAGTCTGCTGTTCTGTTCTGCTCCCGACAGTAACGGGTGTCTTTACAAGCTGAATGTAATGGAGCTCAGCTGATTTCCTTGCTAGGTTTATTTGCTGCACGTTTCCTGGAGCGTTTAAATTTGGGAGCTCCAGCTCAGTCATCAGAGGCAGACTGTGGTGCTGGCGGCAGCAATTAGACCACTGCTTTAATTATATTTGGAGGAGAGGATCGTGTTTGGATGGGGGAGGGTTGGGGTGGCTCCACTGGACGTGCATGGGAGAACCGAATTGCTGTTTTTGGGTCACTTTTGGGCTTTCTAGTCTGTAATTCTAAAGATCACTACATATACACTGTGTATGCTAGTGTAAGATCCTTATGATGTTTGTGTTGCAAAACTGTGCCATGTGTTTGACATTGAAAACGTTTTAGACTTTTTTGTTGTTTTTTGAAGGAGTCACGATGTGCAGAGAAGGTTTTGACCTGTTTGGCACAATTCTTTTCCTCTCTTAACTGAACCAGACACAGTCTTGAAACATCTCAGCGGGTCAAGTGTAATTTTTAACATGCTCCAGCAGCCATCACAAATAAATCAAAGCTGGAACATTTTTGTCCTCTTTCAGGTGGCAAAACTAAACCCCAAAGACCACAGCTTCACTCTGAGAGACGATTTCTACAGGCAAGTTCAGAGGGACTGGCCTGGCTACATGGAGGAGGAGAAGCAGCTTATCCACAGGCTTCTAGCCAGGTGGGCAACCCTTTAGCCTTAGTGTTATCAGCCCTGCAGTTGTTATTTTCCTAATCCTACTGCACAACGTTTACTTTGAGTTTGCATTAGAGCTTTGTCCTTTAATTCTGTCTTAAGTAAATATAACAGCTGCTTTTGTAGGGAAACATCTATGAGCCCTCAAGGCATATCTGGATTTGACCTCCTAAGCTTCCGTAATGGGATGATTGCTTCAGTTGAGTATTGAAGGCTGCTGACGGCTTGTGACCGCCCCATCGTTTGCACCACTGGCCCTTGTAGCCTGGCCCCTGAAGTCCACTGTGCTGACACGTTGAGGGGCCCTGTTAAATTCCTAACCCAGCACAGATGATCCGGTTAATAGGCCTGTCAGAGCAATCGGCCGCACAGTTCAACACATGGTGTTGTCAAATGGAATTATGCTGAGGGCTTCTGAAACAGCAGCGTTCCGCCAAGAAACAATAGGGGAAACTGCATCGCCTGCTGTAAATTCCCAATTCTGCCAAGAGAAACTTTGGCAGTGGCGCCGTTCGGGAAGCTTGCCACACTTCTCTTGACTAGTCGTGCACTTGACTTTCTCCTCCGATTTCACCTCTATCTTCCATTTTTCAGGAGCAGGGCCAGGAGGGAGGCAACAAGGTCCTGCCACTGCTCTCGCAACATACATGGATTTTTAAAACCCCTGGAGCCAGGCTTACCCAATGTAGCTGGATTTGAAGGAACTTTCATCCACTAATACACTGGCCATCCTGAACATTTGCTGTTGAAAGCAGCTGTCCTGCTTGCTTTATCCACTGGTCTCAGTGCAGTTGAGTCAGTGGGTTTCTCAGGACACAGTTAGGAGGTTCCAGAACAGGCCACAGGGGAGGAGCGATCTCTCAGTTAGATAATAGGCTGCTCTATCTGAGGAAAGAGCTGTAGGAAGCAGATTGCCAGAGGAGAGCGTTCGGGGAGAGGGAATGCGTCTGGCACTATTGTTCTCTCTGCTGGACATCAGTGAAGCCAGTGCCTGCTCCACTGCAGATCTTATCATTTACCCGGAAACATGCGAGTAGCAGCTGGACTGAGTGTAGCAAGGAAGGAGCAAACTAACAAGCCCAACATTCTGACCAGGGTGTGGGCATGAGCGAGTGTGAAAGAGTGTGCCATGAACGTGTGAGAAAGGCATGGCCTAAGCCCTTTGCTAGTACCTCTTTGACATTGGTCTCCCTCATAGTTATAAAGCCCAGATGTCTTCCTGTTTAGTTTTTCAGTTCCCTGAAAGCACAGCTTGGCCTTGTTTGTAACTTTCTGGAAATGCTAGCTATAGCTTCCTTATTACATTCACGCATTGGTGGATCAGTGGCAGAGGTTTCCTCTAATGCACAGGGTTTGGCTAGTTTGTGTAGAATAACAACTTACACATTTGTCTTTCTAATCCTGCAGAAAGCTTCAGCCTCTTAGCAGCAGTAGCCAGTTGAAGACCTTCCAGTCCAACCATTCATTCCACAAAGCCACAGGGGATTCTCCGTCCCAGCTTAGCCCAGTCAAGAATCTCTCTGTGGTGAGTATGCACCCATTAAAATAACTGCTGCGTTTTTCTCCATATAGTTTTCGATCAGAATGCCTCAGTGGTGTTACTGTAATTTAGCAGAGGCTGCCCACAGCAGGTGTGTGATCCTTCTTCCTGTAATGCTTAAAGTATTAGTCCTCACACATAAAAACTTCAGTAGCTGAAATTCTGATCATCTGTATAAGGAATGAAAAGGGATTTTTTTTTTTTCTTCCTGTGGAAGAGTTATGTGTGGCGCCATCTGCTTTTTATTGGTGGAGTTGCTTGCACTTTAGCTCCTCAGGAGCCAAGTAGACTTCTGACTTGCACTGTAGTTCAAATGTTGTTGATATCTGTTTGCACATGGTGTTTTGTAAAATCATTTCTTTCTCGTTCACTCCTGTTCCCAGAAACGCCCAGTGCCTTCCGACCACCTGGAAAGTCAGACTCCGAAGAAGCAGAAATTGTTAGACCAGAACTTGCCCTTGCAAACTCCTTCCAATGGACATCTCAGCTCCTCCATAGGCCATAATTCTTCAGGCCCTGGAAGCTCCAGTGTGTTGAACAAAACAGAGCTCGAGAAAACCAACAACAGTGTTCAAGGGAGCCCCAATGGCCTCTACCAGCGGCACAAGCTTAGTGAATCTAATGGTATCCATAAATCGGAACGGTTGGAACCTGAGTCACCAGTGTTGGCCAGCTCCAAACCCGCAAGGACTGAACCCCCTATCTGCACTGACCAGCAGCTAGCCAACAGCCAGCACAAAAAGAAGAAGTCCAAGAAGCACAAAGAGAAGGAGCGAGAGCGCTTAAAACCTGAATGGGTGGAGACTAGTCCGGACCTAAAGCATAACCAGGAAAATCTTGTGGGTATGTTTGCTGTCTCTTTTGTGGTCACATGATGCACTTTCTTGGTGGAAGAGGTCACCAAAACTGTGGCTAATAGTGAAAAAAGGCTAGTGAGGACAAGTTGGTAGGATTCATTTGCGTAATACAGGGGTGTCCAGTCTTATCCGCAAAGGCCCGGTGTGGCTACAGGTTTGAATTACAACAAAGCAGGACTGCCTTGTGAATAAGATTGGACACCTCTGGCATAATACTATCTGGGCCTTTCTAGCCTTTCATTAATTATTACCAGTGCTAGCATTTTTTTATTTTTTGTTGCAGAAATAGGTTGTGTTCTTAGTAGGGTTGTGAAACAATTAAAATAATTAATCACAATGAATCACATTTTTTTTGTGTAGTTAATCGCAATCTTATTTGTCATATTTGCTCAGATTAAACCCTAAATAGATTTCCGCCATTTAAAACCTTAAAACATTTTTTATAGCTATGTGAACTTCATCAGAATGTATATATTACTTTAAACAATTCAATACTATTTTCATTTTATATATATATATATATATATATATATATATATATATATTATATGTAATGTAATGTAATGTAATGTACTGTAATGTTGGTTGGTTTGTTGTAGTCCAGTCCAAAAAAATTGTGCCATTATTACACTTACACATTAACATGTTAACTTTGACACCACTACTTCTTAGAAAATAGATGAAATACAATGTTTGTGTACTTGTGTATGTTTGTGCTTTTACGTCATTGATAATATTGACATCGATAATCAATTTGTATTTGTAGCTGACAGTGGATGTCTCACTGGTATTAATGTATTACTTGATTGTAATTTTTCCCACATTAGTTGACCACGCCATTCATAAGTTAAAGAGAATATGCGTACTCTCAATGTATTAATGATCACATAGGACAAAAGCTTCTCTTCTTCTGAAGAACGCATTCAAAGGCAAATACAGAACAAGTTGGGGCATATCTCTGATTAGGGTACTGCCAATGGAATTATTCCTGAGTGTGTTTGTACGTGCAAAGTGACTGCCAGCCTCTGCTGGGTTGATGATTGACTCAGTAACAGCTGGCTGACCCACAGCCTAGAGAACCAACAAACAGGGCACGACTTCCTCCACCTGCCAAAGTACAGCCATCCAATCTTGGGTGTCCGTCAGCAGCACTTCTCTTATCAGAAAAGCCCCTGATAAGGGACTCTGCCATGGTGGCAGCATACGTGTCTGATCACATTTGAACTGCTAGATTTAAAATTTCCCCTTTGTTTGTGTATGTGCAGACCATGAGGGCCCCAACACACCTGTGACCCGTGCCTCACCGGAGGAACTGCCAGACTATTTATTGTAAGTTCAAAACTAATTGCATGCTGTTCTTGGAACCATTTGAGAGTTCAGAGATTGCCTTCTTGTGTTGATGTGCCTTGTGAATGAATCAAAGCCTAATTGTGTAGTGTTGCAAAGCGAACAGCTAAGAGGGGCTTTCTTGGTTCTCCAGGAACATCTGTGTACTTGAGCGGTTTGGTTTTTGCAGGTGCTAGCTGAGTACCCACTCTTAGGTGACAATGACTGCCTTAATTAGTTTGAAAATCATATGGGAAAAGATGGTTCAGCCCCTTAGAATCTGAGTCAGGCTTCACTTTTACAGTCTCAGTACCCATCGAATTCAGCTGTGGAAGTGAAAGGGAGGGAAAATGACACAAAACTCCAAAGCTGTAATTTTCTATTTATACCTCACCACGAGACCTGATCTTGCAGAACTCATAAACAAAAAGCCCAACTCTACAGCAGAAAATCCTCTCAGTATGAAACTCATTTGGTTGTTGGGAACTGGTCCAGATTTGCCTTGGACACAGTGCCACCTATTGGCGATATGATGGAATGAAGCCTTTACAAGTGCCTTCTCAGGTTATGTTTGTGTCTCAATCTTTTCACCTCTCTGTCTCTGCAGAAAATACAGCACTATAACTGACTCAGAACAGCGGCAGCAGTACAAGGAGGATTTCTGTGCTGAGTATGACGAGTACAGAGACCTCCATGAGCGGATCGGGAAAGTCACTGAAATATTTGTCCAGCTGGGGTCCAAGATAAAGACACTGTCACCTGGTAGTCAAGAGTACAAGGTACTGGTTGGGTTGACTTTAAATTATTGAATCTATGCTCTGTGTGCTTCCTTAACAAATAGTTGTTATATAACATGAATTAAGCAACAGATTGTGGCTAGTATGAATAACCAGAGTTTTCGTTAACCTTTCAGGTAATGGAGGATCAAATACTAGAGAAGTATAGGAAATATAAGAAGGTAAGAAGTCATGCCATTATACTGTTCTTGTCGAAACTGATGATTGAGAGTTTCCCACAACCAGATTAAGCCTAAACCTTTTCTAAAATTCATTTCCAATATTCATTTGCCATTGACATTGCAATTATGTTCAGAAAATATAGGCTAAATCCATATCCAGACAAAAACAGCCCTTAAAGTTTTCATTTTGGAGATAAATACTTGAACTGAGAGTCAAGAAACACATGACTCATCACTCCATATGTAATGTCAATTCTATCTTGAATGTTTCTCTCTTCTGAGGACCCCCTTTTTTTGTTTCTTGCTGCAGAAGTTCCCCGGCTACCGGGAAGAGAAGAAGCGCTGCGAGTATCTCCATCAGAAACTGTCCCACATCAAAGGCTTAATTCTAGACTATGACCGCACTCACACCCCCTCCTAGTGCTGGCTCTCCGTATTCTTTCTTCTTTCCTCCTTGGCTGGCTGTGCAGACCAAAAGACTCCTCACTGGAGATGAAGCAGGAGTAAATCTGGTTCCTTTTGGAAGAACCTGACCAAGCATTTCCACTTCCTCCTCTGCACAAACGGTGGTGAAGTTGGCGTTTGGGGATCGAAGCCCAAACCTTCTCACACAGGCTGAGACCTCCAAGACGTGAATAAAACCCTTTAATGCTTTTGTTTTCTTTTGTTAGTCTGTGTGAAAAGTGTTGCAATGGTGCGATTTTGAGGGTGGAAATGGTGAGACGTGACTTAAACCAAACCCCCCCCCACTCCCCCCTTAATGCAACATGCATTAACTCTTGGCTCACCCCTTCTCTTGTAGGGCTATGGGCTCATTCTATGGTACAATCATAATACTGGACAGTAAGAGAGGATGATCCCTACCCTGCCAGCTGTGTCCCTGTGCACAGATTCTATTTTGCTATTTTACTGAATGTACATTTGTAAACTTGTAAGATCATGACTTCTATTATAGAGGGTTTTAATCACTGGATAGAATAAGGGAAACGTGAAATATTAGAAGATCTGGGGCAACCCTGCCAAACTCTTTAGAACATCAGGGTGCACTTTTTTCTTGGACGATCGTTCTTGTAAATGAAAACTGATTCCCGATGTTCATTGGAAATGTAGTGAAGGGCCTTAAATCTCAGCCGTCTCCTGCTCTTTATAGGCTGTATCTGGGTCTCACTACTACTTATTATGATCTGGCATACGTTTCAGACAGAAGTAATGTGATGTAACTAGAAGAAAGGTATGATAAAACTGGAGTATCAAGGAGCAATTATAAAGCCCTTCGATCTCATGTTTAGGGCCGAATTCCCAGACTCAGGTTAAGCCTAGCACTGGACCAAAAAAGTAATGGAGAATAATTTTAATAGGTTTCTCAGTTTTATTTGGTCCAAACACTAGACCCAATCTGTGTTGGGGAGACTGCAACAAAAGGGTACCACAGTGGTAATAATACCATGAATTCTGTGTCCAGGGTCCAGTGTCTCAAACCACTACAGCACATTGTGTCCTTAAAATATTATTATTATTATTATTATTATTATTATTAAACTCCTTCACAGCATACACAATCATGTTTTTAAAGCACATTAATTTTCAGGCGTTATTGATATTTTGGATTATTGTTTGTCTATATTTTCTGAAGTTTTTTTTTTGGCCATCTGTTTCATTGAGCCAATGTCCATTTAAGTTTTTGTGAAAATGTAGCGATTCATGAGTCACATCTATTCTCTTAAAGGCCGGATATTTCACGATTTAAAAAAAAAAAAAGAGTTTTTTAAAAAAAAAGGTATATCCTGCCTATCTTTATTTTGATGGTGTTATCAGTTCTGTTGGTTGTAGAAATGGGGTTTATGATCATCACTTTCACGGACAGTTATAAAGCTTCATATCTTCCAAAACAGGTATCTCCAAAATAAGTATCCCCAAACCTGCCCCTAAAGAACTGCCCTCCTGCTGAATTTACTTCCAGTCACAAGTAGCACACGTTCCTCAAAGTATTTAGGTGCTTCTTAAGATTTTTGCTTATGTCAAATATGTGACCTGTGTTGAGTTGCCTTTGGAACTGAATTGTGCAGTAAGGGCAGCTCTCTGGGAGCAGGCTTGGAGATGACTGCTCTAAACCTGATATCAAGTTGCAATTCATATCCAACACTTTGTTTTATTCTCAAGAGTCTGACGCCTGTTAGAAACTTTCCATCAAAAGTTGTGTTTGCCCCTTAATTTGGGTTCCTTTTAATAATGTACCAGCACTGAAACCAAACAAAATGATAGTCCTATTCTTGTGGACTGGTGGGTTGTTCCTGTATGTCCACTTTTGTACGAGTCCTCATGATCAGAGTTCTGCTGACTCTACCCAGTTGCCTCACGTGCATTTTTGGAAGTATTTTTGTGTCACTTTTGTGCTTCGACATTTCTCTTACAGAGACAGCTAAGTTGTTATTTATGTCCCTGCAGTGTTAGTTCTCTCTACTTCTCAGTCCAAAATTGATATCTGCGTGGAAGCTGATAGAATTGCCAAAATAGCATAGGTCTCTCTCTTTTTTTTTTGGTTCGATTTTTATTTTCGTTCGCTTGTTTGTTGTTATTTTTATTGTAAAAGTTTGATGTTTTCTTCCTTCAGGTGCTACTTCATGTATTGATGTAGATGCCTTAAATAAACTGGACCGCATTAACTTGACATGCATTGCGAATGTACTGATTTTCAGTCTGTGGCATTTAGCAGTCACTGTTATTTGAAGAGTGCAGTGCAGCACAGAAGCTTTTCTCTTTTCATGAAGAGACGAAGAGCCCAAAAATGCTTGTTAACGCGCGTTTCTCAAAATGTCTTTAGGCAAGGCTGTATGTAGGTTTTTGAGCAGGTAGCACTGGTGCTAGAAAAGCTACAAGGGTGTTTCCACAATATGGGTGCCATTTGTGTCTCACTAATATTACATTTACAAAATATGTATAAAAAATAAAAGGTGAAAGAGATTTTAAGCACAGGTAAAGTGTCTTCCTCGACAACCTTTGAGCATGTTTCAGATAACTTTAAACATAATAAAACCTCCCTACAGCAATTAACAGACAATATATTCAACCTATTCAACAGGAATTTGTACCATCCGAATTTCCTCATGGTAGGAAAAAGACCCTCTTGTGCTGTAATATTGACAGATAAGTTCACTTTGAAAGTACCACCCTGTTACCTAAAAGTAAATTACTCATTTAAAAAAAATTGCGTATCATTTGCACATTTTGTGTATTTGATAATTCTATGCTAAAAAGCTCAACATTAACACGTTTTACTGGTTAAATGCAATTTTAAATTCAACATTAAAAAATAAGAATATAAATTAAGTTTAACTTTTAGGAGTTAAATGCCAGCTCAGTTGTGAACTCTCTTCCACAAGTGCAGTAGCACAAATAAAAATACAGTAGCACAGAGATTAAAGCTATACTTCTAGAACAGCGGTGCCCAATCCTGGTCCTGGAGATCTACCATCTTGAGTTCAGATACAACACACCTGGCTCTAATATTCAGATGCCCCTTCATTAGATGTGCTAGATTAGCGCTGGAGCTCATCCAGGACTGAGCCCTCTGTTCTACAAAGTAATCATTGTTAAATCGAGGTTGAATCATTTGTTATTTTACATCAGAAAAAACAAACAAACAAAAAAAACAGAAGCAGTGTGTAAAAGCTTTGAAATTTAATGATCAATTTATGAATTGTACGGATAATGTATTTTCTCCACAATAATCCAGATTCTCCACAAGGGGCGCTCTTAGCACTCTAGTGCTTTTCTGCATCATTAAAAAAAGGAAACACAAACAAGTCCTAAATGAATGGGGTGAAAGGAGCTAAACGGCTAAAAACAAACAGTTAAAATAGTTTCTAACCGTTGGTCTAGGACCTTTCTTTAATTTTGAAAAGTTTAAAGTTGTGGCCCAACAGTGTGGATGAAGGAAGAGGGCCACACGTTTATGCTGCGGCAGGTCTGTGCTCGGTTTATTTACATCTGAGTGCTTTTGGACCAAGTCTGACATGTCATAAGTGACTCATTATTGAAGTTACAGAAAACAGCCGTTTAAGGGTTAAAACCCTCAACGAATATTTGCGCCCAAGTTCACTGCTTTTGAATGGGCAAGCCAGCAGTTTGAAGAGAAGACAAATGGAAGAACGTATTAAGAAGGTACGTAATATAGCCACTTTAAAAAAAAAAAAGCATATTTACATACATTAGCTAACATGATTTTTGATGTAAGTTTAGTTCGGTGATATGAACTATTTCAAATTATGGTTCCACTATGGAAAACAAGAAAATCTTAATTACAGCTAACAATATGGCATTATACTTGAAAAGCACAGGATAACTAGGTTAATGTATGACTATCAGCTCAAGGTTTAGCTAGTTAGCTACGTTACCCTTAATGGCTAATTCGTCATGGTTAATGTTTGCTTATTCTTTTAAATGGTCAGGTTAGTTAGCTAACGTTAGCTCGCAGTTAGCGCGTTATCCCCGAGCTAAAGTGCTAGCTAACAGCGAGCTAACGTTAGCTAACTACGCTGAGCAGTTAAAAGGAATAGCCTGTGCTTTTCAACTGCTGTGCCCATAGATATACATAACTATATGTCGCGCTGTCCGTTGTTCTCTATCTGAGGCGATACGTCTGCACGTCCGCCATGTTGGAGCGGTCAAGATCCGCTTGTGAACAAATTCACTTTTATTGAGAGACGATGAGTCTCAGGTTTAAACCAGCCACAACTTTCTTATTGCTCAACCGATTTTCACCAAATTTGTTTTATTATAATCCTCGGACATAGATTAATCTAGGTTGCACGGACTGCTCTCGGTAGCTTTTTATTTTTTTAATAACCGATCGCGCTAATTAGCCGTCCACACCAGCAGAGAAGTATTCAGTCTGCACCTGACGTTAAAAACCGAGTTTAGCGCGAGGTTCCGTAGAAATACAATCTCACACACATCAGCAGATCCATCCATGTGTGAATCACTTCTAATCTTAGTACTCATAAAAAAAATACCTCCCCCACGTTGTCTTGTGACAGAAGTAGCATGACCTCTTATCTGTACACACATCACCCTTCTGTGTAAGTCAGTAAAGTTAGAACTAGAAAACAGTTTATAAACGGGTGTTGTGGTTGTTAAACTGAGGCGATATTTCGGGTTCATTATAAGTAGTGCTTTAGATTAGTTCAGCCTGTAAATAGCTTAATTTTGATTATGGGTTTCTTAATGTTTGTTGTAGTTCTTGCCTCATTATTCAGTTTCTAAAGTAAAACCCATCTATTCCAGACAAGCTGTTACTGGAGTTCTGTGACTGCTTACAACAGAACAACTTATAAAGTGACAGAGCTCATTCAGTCTACAGAGGGATCTGATGGAAATGCTGATTGTGGTGTTACTCCAGATTGTCAGCTAAATCATATTTGTATATTTGAATTTAAAACTAATTTAAAAAATCTCACCAGTGTGCATTGCAGTCCAGCAAGTGTCATGTTAAGTCAGCGCCACATTAAGTTGACCGCAGCCATTGTCACACACACAGGCTCAAAAAGAAGATCTGGCTCGATGTTTAGGTCTCAAATGCAGAATCGACATTATACTGATGAAGATGTGATGATAGTAGTAGATCATTCACTTACATCTTTGGAAGACGTGTCCTTCACCAAGTTTTTGCTGACTTCTCCATGAAGACCCTTTCAATGCGCTTGCAATCATCAGATCCACCCACTCAGGTAAGGAGTCTGATATGACAAGCTGTTTTAGCCTAAGATGACACCAGTGATACAAGTTGTTCTGACTAGTAAGAACAAGAATTATAGATATCTATAATTTAATTTTAAAGGGTAAAGGGTAAATATTTTTACTAGTCAAAATTTAATTACAGATCTCTTTAATGTAATTACAGATTATCAACATATATATTTTTACTTGTAACAATAAATATTACACATCTTCATTACGGGAATGTCACTTGTTCCTAATTATGACTAATCATATATATATATATATATAGTCCTTTTATCCCACATGCAGCAGTCTATCTTTGCATTCAGTGACTTTGATGTTTGCACAATGCACATGTCTGGTGGATGAGGCAAATCTCTTGCAAACATTTACCTTCGTTTGGTAGGAGGCGATAGATACTTTGGCTTTCAAGTTTATCTGTTAATTGATATATTTATGTATTTTTTGTACATTTGTACATGCTCATGCATTTTTGGCTTATTTGGTTAAATTCTGGTCAACCTTTTACTTTTTTAATCCGTTGGCTACGCAAGATATAGATTTTGACCTGAACTAGGCCAGCAAAAAGGACTTTGAACAGGCCTAGTTCTCACTTAAACCGGAAGAAGAAAAGCAACCTATCTGTAAAAACTGGTCTCAAAAGTAACCTGCTCTTTATTTAAACTGGCACATCCATCAGGCACACTTAATAACAGGTCAGATCACAAGTTAACCTACTTTTAAAACTATGTGGTGCAGTACAACTAGATCTAAAATTAAACCCAGATAAAAAAGGCCCAGAAATCACAAATTAAACTCTGCTTTATTTAATCCTTTGGGGTCCATCCCAGTATAAACATGTCATGGCCAGTAAAGCTACTTAGCGCGCCTGTTAGCTAGTTTGTGTGACTAGATTAGCGTAACTAGTCTTCTGGTTGCTGAAATATTGTTGATGTATTAGGATGAGTTCTCAGTTGTTGAATGACATGAATAAAAAGAACTTAGTAGATTATTTTTATTCCTCTATAAATCAACAAATCCACAACAGTCTTATAAAGGAACTCTATTGCATGCACAGACATACAGTATGTCTTCTCGGTGTTTGACATCAGTTCTGCATCCTCTAGCCCTTAATCAGCAGTCAGTTTTTGACCACACCAACTCTGTCTGCTGGATATTTTTGGCTGGTGATCTATTCTGAATTAGTTCAATATACAGATTTGCTCTTTTTGGCCTGTTCTTTTGTCATCGTTGAATTAAAAAGAAAGAAAAACTACTTTCAAAATAAGACATTTTCAGATATTTTATGACCTTAAAATTTTAGAAGACTTTTTAAGGCAACTTTTGCATCCAACCTAATATATAAGTGAATTATACTGAAAAGCCTTTAATACTACTTACACAGTAATTGAGAAAAAAAAAGCTCTTCTGTGTCACAAGATGGTAGAGTGGTTGCATCATACCAGTCAGTGCTCTCCTATGAGCATGTTTAGGTATTCAACTGGTAGTTCAAAAAGTTGAAGCCAGATAATTTAGGAAGTTATGAAGATCATACAAAGGAAGTGTGGAAGCTGACTAAATGCCTTTCCCTCATTTTGAGGCACCCTCCCAACCATAGCGGGAATTCCATTTTTCTTTCAGAGGAACTTTTAACCTGCATTTTACATCCATTCTCATTTCTGAGAGGAAATGGAAAAACATGACTACTCATTTTATTTTCTTCATTTATAAAAAGGCAAGCCAGCTGTAGCTTTACATTCCTTACCAGGTTCTATGCCCTAAGACTTTGAATTCAAGTTGACAAATTTCAACCAATTAGAACACAAATGAGAATTGCTGAATTATTGTCTATTGCCTAGAAGTTAACCAGCCACACTAACATTACACAAATAGTACCACCTCATACTACCACCAATCACACAGCTTCCATGTAATAATCTGCATATTACTTATTCTGAAAAAAGAAACACTTTAAAATTAAAAATATGGAACTTTATTTGCAACTGTGCATCATAACAGTCTATATAAGGCTCATCTGTTCAGAATAATCTGCACAGAAATGTATCCAATGAAGCTGCATTAAATTGAAATAAAAATGGCCACAGCAGATGGTTATCTCACTCAATTCATCTGAGGAAAAAAGAAATACTTTAAAACACAGACTTAGTATTAACAGCATTTCGTCTGTAAAAAAGAACTGGTAAACAGGATTCAGGAATTAGGAAGAGGTAGGACATTATGGTGCCACTGATGTTCCTCAATAAAAGGTAACTAAAATAATCAGATACATATAAAGTCAGCAGACTGTGCAAATCAAATATTTCAGCAAAGAGTGAACACCTGTTACCTGGAATCAAATCAGAGGGAATAATTATTATTGCAGGTCTCAAAATCACTGGATACAATTTGCAATCTATTAGTACCATAACAGTATCAAAGATTAATTACAAAGATCCCATTTAAAATATGCATTTTTCTCCCAAGGTGCTCTTTAAAAGGCAGTATAGATAAAGAAAATGATACAAAGAATATCAACAATACAGTGTCTTGGTCAACTAGCAATATCTCAGATATACTGAAATGTTTGTTTATGCACTTGGACTGATTCCATTCCCTTTCACAATATCCAGTTTCGCTATATGACACCAGAAGCTGATGCTAACCTTGATTTTTAGATGCTACAAAGTGATTTTCTTCCCTCATAGTTCAAAGCTGACTGTCTCTCCACAATTCCACTGTGAAAATGCACTAAATTCACATTTCAATTCAAGTCCCTAGTACAACTTTAAACCCAAGCACACATACATTTCAGGATTTAGAGTAGGCTTGTGTATATCTATGTAGCCTCTCATTCTTAAAAACAAAAAAACTCTTTTCAAACTATTTTAATCTAGGACCTTAGGCTGTCCAGAAACCCAGTATTCTGTTGTTTAGTATCAGTTATAAGTCTCTCTCAGTGTATGACTAATGGCTGAAAATTTCAGACCCTTTTAAAAGCCCCAGTCAGGAAAAGTCTGATCTTTTATTATGCTGTTGCCATACTGGCTAATTGAGAGGAATCTTAACACAAAGTGTTTTCATTTATTTATTTATTACTCTACTAACTACTTGGCTTCCTGCCCTTGAGCTCGGGTGGGGAACTGAGGGCCAGAAGAAGAAGCATCAGCCATGTTTGACTTGGAGAAAAGTTTCCAACAATGTGAATGAAATAAGGTAACTTCTGAACTGAGATTATGTTTTTGATAGAGGATCTTCTTATGAAATCCAAATCATCTTTGTGTGTTTATTCTAAACAGCCAGGGAGCACATTTATCATTTTCTGTATTAGACATACCCTCTAGCTATTTGACTCTCTGAACCAAGCAAGCGTTTATTATTCACCCAATATTATTTGTGATTATAATATCCAGATTTATCATGGTCCATCCACGTTATTTGCATTAACTGAAGTAACTTGACAACCAATTCACATGTAATTTATCTGAGAAAAAAAAACGTTCCTGACTGGAGCTTAAAACTTTTTTTCCCCTTCTCACCTTAGGGCTTTATTTTCAGATTGGGCTTCAGGACTGACAGTATCCCTATAAGGGAAGAGACAAGTCCACACATCCCCACGATCCCTGCATTTGTCTGATAAATTCCCAGCTTGTCAAGTGGAATGAAAAGATCACACGCATTCTTGAGCATGTCGAGAGCGACAGCTGGGTGACTTCTGAGACTCTCGATGAATAGAAACAGAAAGGCATCAAGCTGGGGAATAATGACACAAGCCACATCTGGACTGTCATTTAGGTGCTGGTTGACCTTCTGCTGAAATTGCCTTTCCCGAGATTTTTGCACCATGAGCTGAGCCATCACATAAGCATCTCTGGCAAGGTTCATCAGTAAGGACACAAAGTAATATCTGCTTGCATTCAAGCTCCAACGATCCTTATCAATACCTTTGATGAGGCCAATATTTTTGGCCCAGAGAACATTGTCACAAATGAAATAAAGGGCACGGCTGACGTTGGCCACAGTGAGGCAAAGACGCAGCACAGGGTCAGACAGGTAAAGAGTTCTCTTGGCCGCATCGATGGAGTTCACAGTATTGCCAAGCCTGAAAACTGAACAGAAAAACAAAGTTGGCTTTTTCACTTTTGGCCGATGGAATTTCATGAATGTGCAGAAAATTATTTTCTCAGTTATCAACAGGAAATAACACTGTTAGATTTTGGTTTGGAAATTCTCTGTAAATTGATTGAAGTAAAATTATTTCTGCTCAAACAATGAATATCTCAACAAAAGTGGATCAGCATGCAACATGGGTCTCTTAAGTGGGCATGCTGAAAAACTACCTTAGCTAACTGCTAGCACCTAATGTGGATTATCACAGTTGCAAATAAACCTTTCTTCATATTTTTGCATTTAATGTGCCGCTAAGCGATAAACTCCCCTATTAATCAAAGCTGACTATCTGCGTCATGAAATCTGAGTCATGAAATTGTTCCCTATTGAAACAAAGGATGATCAGTGTAAATGATGAATCACTTTCTACATTGTGCGCTTGTGCACTACTCCCTTATTTCCATCATTTGCAAATGACGCCCATATTTATATATACATATGTATAACTTCTAGGAGAAGACCCTAATTAACGCATGTGTGAGCCAATGGGAAAAAAAAGAGCATTCAGCAGGCTCATGAGCCATTGGTTATCCTCCATGAAAAAAAATCACCCTGGGCACTTGCAAGGGCTGGACTGGTGTCTTCTAAGACTGTGAAATACTACCTGAAGGTCTAATGAACTAATCTCTGCAAAATTCCATTTCACATTTACAAATTATTTTAACTGAATTACCCACCATTTTCAGCACAAAGATTCTTATATGTGGGGATATGGAAATGGCTGATTCCAATATCCATTTTTTCTAATATACATTTTAGAAATAGTAGAAACTGGGACTACATGTACCTGGATTAGCATTACAAAGAAATGCAACATTTATTTCTGTAAGGTTATAAATGTGCTAAAATTAATAAAATGGACAGGTTTTAGCACAATACCCCAGCATCACCTACATGTTCTTCTCTTCTGGAGTACAATCATAAAATAACAGTTTAAAATACTGATCACATCTAAACACCTGTCCAATGCCGTTTACTTTTTTAAAGCAATTGTCTTCCAATTCTGATTGGACTGTTGCAGTTTAGACCCTTCAGCAAAGTCCAGCTTTTGTAAGTAAAACTACATTATTTGGTTAATATACACTCTTAAAAAAAGATGTTTTTTAAGGGTTTTTTAGAACCCTTTGCGTAATTAAAGGGTTCTTTGCATCATGAAAGGGTTCTTCAGATTGATGGAGAATGTGCTGTAGATGGTTCTACCTAGAACCTTTTTGAAAAGTGTTCTATATGGCACCAAAAAGGATTCTTCTATCGTTATGAGGTCAAGCGTGTTAGAATATAGAATGCTTTTTGGTGCTATATAGAACCGTTTTCAAAAAGAATCCATGTAAAAAATGTTTAGAACCATTTATTTAGAATAGTTTATATAGAATCTGTATAGAACCATCTTCTTTACTAAAGAACCCCTGAGGAATCATCTTTAAGAGTGTAGGTATGACTGGAAATAACTGCCTGAGGCGGCGCTAAGACGGTCACTGAAGTATAGCTTACTACATACTGCTTTCCAGTGCGGCAACGATACCTTTGACATTCTACTCGAGCCAAACATTCCACTATACAGCCAGAGCCATCTTCGAAATATAGGATGTGAACGCAATCATCTGGTGGTCATGTGACCCTGTAGTATGGCAGTTTTCACATACTGTTATATACTACCATGAGGAGCAGTATCTGATAATGTGTGAAGAGAACCACTCAAGAATGTCTTTCAGGTTTGTCACATGCTAGAGGGCGCTTCTGAGCGAGTCCAAGCTGAACGAGTTGTTATAGAGCATTTAAGCAACATCACATCTTAGTAGATGACAGAAGAATGCTTTCATTTCCTGAACGCAGAACAGCATAAAAACACTAACACCTTTAACTAGCACTATTTTTTTTAGTGCTTTTGAATTCCAGTTGTAGGACTTTATAACCTTTAGCACTTCATGTACGTTCATGACGTCAATATGAGCGAACTGCTTCACTCAGCCAATGAGATGACCAACCAATCAGCACTCAGTAGCAGTAATGCTAGCATCTTAGTTTTGCAGTCATGTTTTTCATATAATAGGAGAAAAGGGAAGTGCAGGCTCCCCTTTAAACCAGCTCTGTAAGTACCTAATCACCCTGCTTGCTTTTTCAGCATGCCCACTACTCTGTCCTGCAGAGAGCTATAGTTGGACAACTGCAGAAACAAAACGCTAATGCCCAGTCCCAAATGGCGTACACACGGGCCTGCAGTCCTCAGTTTTGGTGTTCAAAGCACCCTCTCTATGCCTTTACTGCAGCCTTCAGTGACGACCACAATAATGCAGGCCCGGCAGTGGGCTGTTACCCAAAATTCCATGAAATACAGGTCAAGACCAGTCAGAGTGGATAGTTTTGTTTACAGCTATCTGACCAATATGGCAGAGAGTAAAATACTCGGCTGCATTCAGCGTGTTATCTGAATTAAGCCACCCTAGTTAAGCAGTTTAGCTCATATATAAAAAAAAAAAACCCATACGCCAATACCGAGCCTGCACATCGCACGAGTCTGTCCTAAATGCACAAGTTTAAACAAAGCTCCCTCAAGGTCTTTTGCACCATAGTTCTGCACATTGTTAATGTTACCAAACTGTGACTTGGAAGTCATTGAGAGCATATATATGTACTGGACCCTGTCATCCTGCTGATTTCAGTGGGGACTAGATGAGGCAAATTGTATCACTTCCAGATTGGCTTCTCGTCTGGTGGATAGTTGGAAAGCGTGAGACCGAGCAGGTGCCTTAATGATGCAAATCTAAAGCGTGTGGTGCAAAGGGAACATAAATCACCACAACCATTCAGAAGAACAATACATTTTCAACATATATTGAATTTACTACTTCCTCCACCATTAGTTCTTTGTGTAAAATAAACTTTAGAATTAAAGAAGAGAACAAGAAAAATATGACCCTCCTGAGTGAGCGAGCAAAAACATCCTCAACTAGACACGTATTACAGTACTGATCATTATAAAAATAAATAATTAAATGAATAATAACAATAATAGTTATTACTGTTATTATTATTATGCACTAAACCTGCTCTGTGATTTCAGTCATTTTTTGTCCTGTCGCGGATAAACTTTTAGTTTGCAGCTATAAATTGATTGACAGGCCTGTATATCAAATGACAGGCAGTCCAGCCTATCTAGAAGTGGACAGGGGCATGAGGTGATCTAAAACGGCTCAGGTGTGCCTTTTTTTCCGCCCGAAATGAACGGAAGTTAATGAAGAGTTTCTCATAAATGCTCGATCCCTGCTCGATCCCAAGCAGCTCACTTCCGGGGACACGCTTTGGAAGGCAAAAGCTGGGGGCCTGTTGGAAGTGGAGCGCAGGGTTCAAACGCCATTTGTGACTGGACTAATGAGTCTACTGAAACTTCATACCAGCCAGTAGGAGGCGCAGTGCACTTACGCTTCCGTCCAGAGCTCATGTTCGACTCCAAACTCCGCAGCTTCACCAGCAGCGCTTTTCTTGCCGGATCATTGCGAAGCAGATACTTTGCCAAAGCGCATGCATACTGTGTTGCCCTAAACACCAAGCCCAGTTAGTTCAACTGAATAGTGTAATAGGTAAACATAACATTAGGTAAATAGTAAAGTATAAAAAGCTCGCGTGTTTGATCTGGTAGGTTTACAGTAGTAACGTGTGCTCTTTCAAAACACTGGAAAAAAATATGAAAAGTGGTTCGGGCACCTCGGTAACTCACCTGAAAATACGGTCCCTTCCTTGGCTCTGGTTGGAGAATTTGATGAAGGATTCCATTTTAGCAAAACTGTCAGGCTAGCTGAGGTTATGAGAGTCCGCTTGGTTAACAGTGTAAGTGAAAGCTCTGCTAACTAATCGTGCCAGCGCGACTGACTTAAGTCAAACTAACGTTAAGTAACCTAAGGCGAGTCATGCTATCGGTTCAGTTCTGCTTCCACGGATATGTGAACTAATAAAGCACGCTGGGTGAGAAGTTCGCCTACATGATAAAAGTAAAACAGTCCTCCTCTCGCCAGTGAGTTTCACCGCCGCGGCTCTGGTGAAATCTGGTGAAAGTTCATGCACCACGCCGAGAAACACATGAACAAACATCACAGGTTCCAGGTCGCCTGTTGTGCCACGCCACTTTTTTTCACAACCATAAAGATAAGTAAAAGATGCCCCACAAAGATAAACCAGTAACGTTGACCAGTTAACTGTTGCTCGGCCAAGGTCATGTACGGCTTTCCGCACAACCTTCCCCACAACTACCACTATCGAAGTTCTAAATCACAAAAGTAACTTATAGGTTAAATTTATAGCCGTCCTCTCGTCTTCTCTGAATGCGTATTTGGATTGGCACATGTAATTATGTAAAATAAAAGTATGCTTTTCGTTAACAAGTGTTTTGTATTAAAAAAAATAAATCAATAAACTTCTCACAGTTTTAATCAAAGATCCCTGCGTGCCGTTTTCGGTTTCAGTACGGATGTTTTAAGCTGACGGCCAGGATCTAGCTAGTTTACTTCCTGTAAGCTGCTGCTATGGCAACTGTCGCTGAAGTAGAACTCGCTAGCCCTACGGCTAACTGCGAGCTAACGGGCTTTCGCACCATACAGTACTTCAGTCCTCCAAAGATTAGACCAGACTTTACGATGTTTTAAAACGTATGTGACGCAAACACGGGTTGCAATCGTCCAACCTGTTTCTGTACATAATTTAATATGACATCTGTTTGTTATTTTGCTAATTCTGTAATATGACAGATATGTCTCAAATCCGTAACTGACATAATTGGCCTTGTTGTACACATAAGTTAGCTTTAGATGTAACCTAAAGTTGTTCCAGAGGAGAAAAAAATCTTTAACGGTCTACAAGTAAATGCATCTTTGTAATATTTTGACTGCACATGCACACTGCAGTTATCCTGTATTGCTGACCATTAAAATTATTTTCCTATATTCCTGCTGAAAGCAAGACCTTGAAGACTTTGTGACAAGTTGTCTGATACTCTGAAAACACACACATTTTAGGCCTAGGTTTTGAAAACGTCAGTGACTCCAGCAGCAGAAACTGAATTTAAGTGAAGTCGGCTTGAGGCAGTGAAGCCAAGGAAGCACGGTACCTGTCAGTATGATGAGAACAAGGGTCTAAGACTCATTCTGGAAATGTCAGATGATCATGTTGATGCCTTTGGTTCCTGAATTGTTTGGATTCTTATGGCTCAGCTAATTTATTCTGATAGTAAGCAAAACAGGATACTTATTTGAATATTATCCCTATAAAAGGACTTCCTGTGTTAGAATTTGAAAATAATTTGGGAAGGCTATATTACTATTGCTTCTCTGTAAGTCTGGCTCATGGATATTTTCCAGCTTCTGCTCAAATGTCTCTCTCAACCAACAGGTTAGTTTAATCACTAACCCTGCTTTAAAGAGAATATTCTAAATGAGCCCTACCAAGATGTCAAGGTTTGATGATGAAGTCTCTTTGATTGGAGCCTTGAGTGGCCGTGTTCAGTACTGGTTAGATTAAAGCTGGAGGAAAGCATGTGTGTCAGGTCAGGGTCACTTGGCGAAAAGGTGTAGCTTTACATAATCCTCGTGGTTTTGCAGTTTCTTTATATTGTGTATATTGCCCAAATACCTCATGTTAAAAATCACCAATGAGGGATCCACTGCCCTTATTCAATACTTAAATAGTTAGTCCTGTCAGCATCTGTGAGCAGATATGCATGCTTGTTTCAAAATCTAGAGTCTAGGGTGATTGTCTGAATTGCATTCTATGAGCGTGTTATTAATGTCAGCACTTCTTGATTAATCTGCAGTCTGTTACAGTACATGACAATAATTCACATTACAGCACCTAAGCATTTAAGAGGTGATGTTGAAACTGCTTGGGCAGATATTTCACCATTAATTGTGTAGCGCAGCTTTAAAAGTTTACATGCTTGCATGAATTAAATAAAAGTTTTTGCTTGAATATTGAATGTTGAATATTTTCCTGACATGACCTGCCAGAGCCTAATTCTTAAACATAGAAATGACTGGAGTCGGTTTGCTGGAGTTTGAGACTGTTCCTTAGGAAAGAAGACCTGACATTTTATCTGTGGTTTGCATTTTTTATATGTAAAACATAGCAGATATATACACAGTTCTATGATCTGCTAGTCCAAAGAAAATACTAGAGGTGAAATTTTACATGACATCACATTGCATTATAATGGCATCACAGAAGCTATATTACCTACTGTATTACTAAAGCAGATTTTTCCCAAAGTAGATGAAAATTGGTGTGCTGGTCAGAGAAGGGCAGATGATGGGTATAAAATAATATTATTGAGGCTATATTACTATGGTTTCTCTGTAGGCCTGGTTTATGAATATTTTCCAGTTTCTGGCCAAATGTCTCTATTAGGCAACAGATTAGTTTGATCTCTAACGCTGCTTTAAAGAGAATACTTCAAATGAGCCCTACCAAGACATTAAGGCTTGATGATAAAGTCTCTTTGATTGGAGCCTTGAGTGGCCGTGTTCGGTACGGATTAGATTAAAGCTGGATGAAAAGCATGTGTGGTCAGGGTCACTTGGCGAAAAGGTTTAAGTTTACATAATCTGTGATTTTTACGGTCACTTATTCATTTGTGTTTGGAACAGACTGTGCATTCATCCTGATTCTTCACCATGCAGTTACACTTTAGAATCTGAAGAGGGCAGTCCTTACCATGGTATGGAGAGATATTCTACATACTCTTTACATAAAAAATTGAGACATATGTGTCTATCCTCTGTTAACCTCACTATGAATTATATTATTAGAAATGCATATGAGTTAGATAGTATATTCATCTGTTTGTTTTTCTATTTCTGTTGGATATTTATTTTTATCTACACATTGCTTTGTATTTGTACATTTTTGTATAAATTTTGTATAAATTTGCTGAGGTGCTGAAATACGTAAGTGTGAATTTTAGATCCGAAAACAATAGCAATACACATTTTAAAAGGCTACATGATGCATTCAGTACAATATCTAATTGACTGTCAACAGACAGTTAAACATTATTACGTAATTTTATGTAATAATGCATTTAACGTTATTACGTAATTAAACGTGTGGTTTACAGCTGTATGTGGGTCTTAGTATAAAGAAAATGATGATGTTCATGAAATGACAGTAATATTCCATCCCAAATTTGAGATATGGCTCAGTCCAACATTATAGTTGTATAGATGTCCAGTTGATGTTGGTCATTGTATGTCCTTGAATGCCGCCTCAGCATTTGTGTCGCACGTAATTGAATCATCAGTGTCTCAGTGTTCCTGGTTCCAGGAACCTAGTCAGTGCCTGAGATTCAGTGTGTGCCTACAGAGTGAATCAAAACGCCACCTACTTTTAATCTTCTTAGATAGATAGATAGATAGATGGATAGATAGATAGATCACTTTATTAATCCCAAAAGGAGCACAGGAGCAAAAGTATTGCATTATGCTATTTACAGATGCATAAATAGAAAAAGTAAAGATAAATAATAAAATATAAAACAACGATAAAAAATATAATGTACAGTACAAAAATAAGTAGTAAAATAGAGTTGCCAATGTAGTGGTGCATGTCCCCTCCAGTGAACGTACCGAGTGACTGCGTACTGTAAAAGATAACCTATGTTAATGGTTGTGCAATATGAAATATTTATGAACGTATAAACAAAGTGGCAGTGCAATGTAAAGTATGTATAAATGTAGAAACAAACTTTAGGATTTAGAAAATTTTTGGTTTGGACATACTTATGTTTTATGCTGCATCCAGCACTTTAGCTATAATGGTAAATACTTTTGCTCATCCCAGTCTAAAAACAGCCTCCCGCTTCATGATCTACTTTGAGAGAACTAACAAAATGAACGTTAGATTGACTGTCACAGGTGTTTACTGCCTACATCCATCAGGTACGTGATCAGGGTCATTCCAAGTTAATCATTTCTGTGCCTGTTTAAACAGTATGGGAGTATGCATTTTTTGAGAACACAGGCATGGCTGATTTCCGACGCTTTGGGATTTGGATCCATTAAAACGCATGATAATTATATGCTTTATGCATGTGCATAGTGATTTAAAAATAATAGGAATGGCATTTTAACAAAACATCCAGATATAATTCATTTCTTAGATTTGTGCTTTTTTTATTTTGGGTTAGATGTGAGCAGTCAACAAACAGCATCTACAAATCCTGGGAATGAAAACCAAAGCAAATCTGGCCTATTCTACTCAAAGAGTTAAATCATAGATATCACTTTATCAGTAAAAACACACAAAACAGGCTTTGGTTATATCAGCTTTTTAAAATGTGTACTTTCTACTTTTTGTCTCCTTTTTCCTTTATAAGTTGACTTTACTCACAACTAAAGTAGGTTCAAGTTAGGGGTGGGCGATATGGCAAAAATATAATATTATGATACTTGAAAACACTTTTATGATACAATACATGACACATATTACAAGATTTCTTTTTTCTGAGGCTTGATAAGTCGAAACCAAAAAAGTAAGCAGTTGTTTCGTGTTCTTTAAATACTGATGTAATCCACAAAATGCTAAGAAAAGCATATTGTAGCATAATTTATCACAATAATGATAAAATGTCATGTTGAACCACTCCTAGTTCAATATGAGTAGGATACCTTTCTCTGTCATTTGGCAAAGCTCACAAACATGACTAATACTAATATTAATAATTAAAAATTCATGCATATCTATCTATCTATCTATCTATCTATATATATATATATATATATATATATATATATATATATATATATATATATTATCCCTTTCATTTTAGAAAAAAAATAAAGAGATTCAGAAGTTAAAAATAATATATATTTTTGTTCAAAAAAGCAAAAAAAAAGATAAACATTGTAATAAGAAACAGATATGGGGGTGCACTGCAGTAATGAAAACCTGGATATAAAAAGGCCAAATATTTGAAAATAGAAAAGTGAATAAAACTTTTTGCTGTACTTTATACAGTTTCAGTTGATCTACTACATTTTATGAGTACTTTTTATCTGTGTGATGATTATGACATGATGGACATGATTTGAAGCAGATTGCTGACCCATAAACAGGAGAAGTTCATAATGAGATGTGAAATCCACCTTTTCTTTCATAAATGATACTCCTTGATCCATGTGTTCATCCTTGGTGAAAGGAATCTTTAGAGATGTTGGAACAGACAGGTTATATTACTGTCCTTATCAAATGATGGAATTTAAAGCAACACTATGTAGGACCTCTCTGGTGGAAATATGTAATTTCACGCAACATACAACATTCCCCCACAAGCAGATGAATTTGTCTTTTGCAAGTGCGTTGAAAGAGTATTTGAGGAGAACTCAGTCAAAACTTGGTGAGGGATGTGTCTTCTGAGGATGTTGTGAATGATCTACTATTGTCATCCTATCTTCATCAGTGCAATGTTGAT